AGATGAAGAAAAATGACATTGTCTTTGCATGTTGAATTCATGGTAAGTTTCCAAAGCTTTGCAAACAATTAAAAGGATAGTGAAGCGTGAAGTCCATGCCTAGACTTACTTTCCTTTCCACTGAAAGCTATAACCAGTAATTCCCAACAAATGAAATGAGTGCCTAAAACTGGCCTAATTCTGTTTGAATAGCTGTTTCTGTGTCTTGCCATGCATGAAGGACACAGAAGCAGTGCTCTACCAATCATTCACTTCATCACAACCTCTTCTGGTCTTAAAGGCTTGAAGAAACCCCAAGGTTTCTTTGCCCTAAATGCAAAGCCCAGTATACAGCTAATATGTATATGGTAATTTGTGTATATAACATGAGAAAAACCAGTCCCTTACCTGATGAAATACACTGTAACACAGGTGTATAGATATAATATGAACTCAAGATCTAGCCTCAGTTTTTTCACTTACAAGATTAGAATGATAATTATTAGTGTTGGACCTGTTTACATGACTATTGATAACTGGAGAGGACACATGAACTAGTACATGGGAAATCATGAAACTTATTTTTATAAAGTTAGTAAAACCATGAATTCCTAGGAAACAAGTTTTCAATCTAAGCTGTTCCTTTTTCTTTTTTTTTTATGTTTTTTATTTATTTCTGAGAGAGAGACAGAGAGACAGCATGAGCAGGGGAGGGTCAGAGAGAGAGACACAGAATCTGAAACAGGCTGAGCTAGCTGTCAGTACAGAGCCCAACATGGGACTTGAACCCACAAACCATGAGATCATGATCTGAGCCGAAGTCGGACGCCCAACCAACTGAGCCACCCAGGCGCCCCTAAGCTGTTCTTGAACAAAGACATTAAGACCAACTGAGACACAGTTCTTCCTGCAGGGCTAGCCCTAAGGTTTTTGCCTATGATGAGCTAAAGGCAGACATCTTTGTTATGTTTTCATTGTTTTAATCACACACACACACACACACACACACCAAGTGCCATTATTACCTTAGCACTAGACAAAGGTCTTTTTGACTCCAAAAAATAAAAGCGATTAGCTAATTTATAGTGATTCTATATTATTTTAATACTGCATGTTACATTAGATTGCCATCCATCATAACCCCAGAGGAATTCAATTAATTCTCACAAACCTCTCTTGGATTAGTAGTGCACTCTGATTAGTGTTGTATTAGCAGATGCAAAATCACTTTCTGGATAAGGCAGGGAATTGAAAATTAAATTAACAAATCTGCATTACTTGGAGAAGGTCACCCCAAAAAAGGGAAAGGATTTTGTAGATCCAGCCTCCCAGCAGAAACATCACAATCAAGAGCTACTGAAGAAGCATTTAATGATACCAAAACAGTTGGAAAGGCTGCATGGTATTGTTTTTCACAAGGTCAGTTGAAAAATCTTTATGTCACACTGAAAACGGAGATCTCATCTACTTGAAACACACTTATGGTCAACTTTAGTTTCCAATCTGAGGTTAATATTTTTAAAAGGGCAAGCCACCCCCCTTTCTAAAATATTTTCTCATTCAGCTTTCTATATAGCATGTTATTTGGATTATATGAAATACTGATACATTAGATCTTAGAGCTTCTGTAGAACACAGTTCTCTCTCACATACCCATCTAGTAAAGGATGTGTATGAGAAGACCTACCTGAAATGTCTTTTCACCAGAGTATGTAAAGAGATTTGCTGGGAGGAGGCATTTATTCCAGATACTACCTCCTTACAGATAAGTTTCAAAATAGAAGAGGAGCCTCAGAATTATCTTCAAGATGTAACATTAGGCCAATAATTAGCTCTACTAGGTACTGAAGTTTTCCTTTTAATTTTCTTTTCAAAATATCAAGTCCCAAATTCTGAAAGCATTTGGTGATAGAGTACAGATCTCAGGTCCCTAGCATTGTTCAAGCAGATTTTGTTTGTATTTTTATCCCCAGGAAATCCATGCATTATTAAATAGCAACCCACTCCTCCCTAAAAAAATAATCATAATTTATTATTCAGACTTAAGCAGTATGTCAAAAAACAATTTATTCATAATAAATGATTAAATTTTATATAAAAATGTTGCATGGGTCTGATTCCCTTTCTTTAGATGTGAGTCTCATGTCCATCTCCTCTGTTCTCTGACACATTGTTCAGATACAGTTGTTATCCTTGATAAGGGGGAAATGGCACAATGCCCAGCTGATGCGTTTTCTGAGTCATTAACCCAGATTTCTCTATCTTGAACTTTCTTGGAAAAAACTTTTCTATATATTGGAGGCCTTTAACCAGAATCCTTTTTAATCAATCCTTTAATGTTTTTAACTGCTAAATTAAAATTTTGAAAGTGAGCTTTCCCTGTATTATAAAATAGATTCCATTGTTGGCTCAGAACCAAATCCTGTGGACATGAGGTTGTGCATGCTTCCCAGTGGCAGTAACCTGAAGACTTTATTTAAACTGTCTTTTGAATCTACGGTAATTTGGTGTCTGGAGGAATAGGATCTTTATCAACAAAGGGCTGCCAGAACCCCAACTGCTTCTTGAGTAGCTGTAATAGATGAATAATGTTACAACCAGCCGTGCATTTCAGTTTTTACTCAAAAGGCTTTTCACTAATGCTGGTGGTATTCCATATCCATGTGTTCATCTCGGAGCCCAGTAGTTCCCATCTGACTTTCATTACTTTTTTGAGAGGATCAGTTTTACAAGTGGAATCAGAAAAGCAGTCAAAGTAATTGTAAGTGTCAATCAGTGAAATATAATAATTTTAACTTGGGAACATATGTTCCATTATAAAGAAAAGATTTTTTTTCTTTTTTCTCATAACTGCAGGACTCATATTTTCCCAGAGCAAGAAGGGGCCATGTACCAGGTTCTGGTGCTACATCTCATATCATGCCTGTATGATATGCCAGTATCTCTGTAAAGTGCTTGGTCTGCTCCAGGGATAGGCAACTCATTACCTCCCAAGGAAATCTATTCACTTTTTGATTCTGACAATTTGAAAATGCTTTATGACATTAGAGATGAAATTCATCTCTCCGTCGTTACATCCTTCAGAATTGAAAAACTTGGGTCTTAACAGAGTAAATCTAACCCTCTCTTCAGATACTCACAGTCAGAGTACTCAGCTCCCACATTTTCCTCTGCCAAGTGGGACATGTATTCCTTTCTCATATGGAACAGCTTTGATTTCCTTAATCGCTCTGGTAACTCTCTTGAAGGAAGCTCAGATTTGCCTGTATCCCTCTTAAAGGTATGCAGAAGGAAAATTAGACTTCCATTCAGAATATCTGCATTAAATTCAGGCTCTGCTACTTATTAATGTCAGAACTGGGGCAAATTTCTTTTTCTCCCTTGAGATAGCAAGAGATTAATAAAAGAGACATGGTCTAGAGGTCAAAGCAAAAAATAAGCATGTCAACAAACATGTATATAATTACAATGTGTAATAAGTAGTGTAAAGAGTTGTCATGGGAGGGGTACCTGGTTGGCTCAGTTGGTTAAGCATCCAACTTTGATCTCAGCTCAGGTCTTGATGTTACAGGTCCATGACACTGAGCCCCGAGTGAGCTCTACACTAACAGGGCAGAGGCTGCTTGGGATTCACTCCTTCTCTCTCCCTCTTTCTCTCTTTCTCTCAAATAAATAAATAAAATAAAATGTTGCCAAGGGATTCTGAGAGTATCACGAGCAGGCTTTCTGAGAGGCAGGCTGAGCATTTTATAGGGAAGGAGATACCATGTGTGTTCTAGGATTTGGGATTGCAATAAGGTAGGAGAGCAATGTTTTCTAACAACAGAAGTGGGCCAGTGTCGAGTTTAGAAAGCAAGGAAGTAAATGGAGCAAAATGTTTTTGGAAAAGTGCAGAGAGGGGGCACCTGTGTGGTTTCCCAACTCTTGATTTCAATTCAGGTCATGATCTCAGGATTTGTGGGTTTGAACCCTGCATCAAGCTCCATGCTGACAGTATGGAGCCTGGTTGGAATTCTCTCTCTCATTCTCTCTCTCTCTTTTTCTCTCTCTGATCCTTCCCCACTTGCCCTATCTCTCTCAAAATAAATAAATAAACTTAAAATTTTTTTTAAAAAGAAAAGTGAGGAGTTCTGTAGCCATTGTTGAGAGTTTGGGTTTTATTTGAAGTAAAAGAGGAAGTCATTATTGGGTTTGAAGGAGAGAAATTACAGTGTCTGAAATATATTTGTAAAAATTGTTCTCATGCTAGATGGAGAGCAGACTGCAAAATACAAAAGTAGACATGGGATAACCAGTTAGGAAGCAATTGTCATAATCCTAGGAGACATGCATGTGGTACAACAATCCTGTGAGGTTTAAATGAAAAGTCTTCCCTGCAGAGGTTAAGACAGACAGACTGCCTAAGATTAAGCCAGACTCCACCAATTTGAGCCAGTTCTTTAATCTCCATGCATCTCAGTTTTCCCCTTTGTGAAAGGAGGATCCTGATAGTGCTTACTTCACAGAGTTGTTATGAGGATTAAATGGCATTACAAATGAGTTCCCAGGTAGCTAAATTTGTGAAGAATTTTTCACTGTTATTGCATGTTCCACCCTACAGTGCATTTTCAGATTCAGGCATTATTTTATTTAGTTTTTGTCTGGCAATGTGGAATTGCATGAGTGATGAATGTGACCAGATAATTGTTTATCCTCCTTTGCATGCTATATCTTACTGATACAGTGAAGAAAATAGACAGTGTGTGAGAGAAATAGCACTTTATAGGCAATCAGTTGTATTTTTCTTTCTTTGTCATCTACTTTGTCATATTACAAAGATCCAACATCTGAAACACTATATTTCTTTAATGGGATAGTCCCCATGAGACCTGTTTTTATCTGCTTAAGACCCAAACTTCAATATATTGTGATTTCTGTAGCATAGTGTGGAACAATAATGTAACATTGTCATTAGGCCAAATACCAGGCTGTCTCCTCTTGTGATAGGTTCACCTAGTGGAATGACACCATTTGTTTTACAGGCATCCCAGGAAGTGACTATGTGAATGCCAACTACATAGATGGCTATAGGAAACAAAACGCCTATATTGCAACACAAGGATCTCTTCCTGAAACTTTTGGGGACTTTTGGAGAATGATATGGGAGCAACGGAGTGCAACAGTTGTCATGATGACAAAACTAGAAGAACGATCCAGGGTAAGAACATCTACCCTCTCCTTCTTCAGTCTTTCCTCAGATAGTGTCTGTATAATGTAGAATATATTATTCTTTTTAGAATCTACCCTTTCCTTAAACTTTGGCTTTCTAAGAGAGACTAACAGTGAATGGGCATCAACAACTCTGATGAAACTATTCTTTAACTCTGAGTCTTTCAAGAAGGAAAATCTCTCATGTTACAATGTGATTGCTAGAAAAAAAAATTAGTACTCAAAAAAGTAGACAATGTGATTACATAAAATAAATATTAGTTGGAACTTCTTTCTAAAACTTATATTGAACAAGAATGTACAGACTTTGGAGAGAATCCCACCAATATATACTTGCCTGTATTTTTAACTTTTTTTTCCTTATAATCTGCAGGGTACGATCTGAAATTCTATAAAAGAGGCTTTTATGTAATTTATTCAAATTAGCATAAATTAAGTTAGGGCCACCAGAAAAATGATGTGAGTTAACACACAGCTGAGAAAACACATAAATGCATAGAGAGCATTTTGCTAGTTTAGCCTTCTCCAAAAGGAATAGATTTTAATAACAGAGTCATAGGTCTAAGAAAGGAGTTTTATTCATCATATGGGTCCAATATTATGGTGCATGGCACATTAGTTAAATACTATTGATTTGCAAAACTAAAACATAATGGGTAAGCAGTATGCCATATTCCCAAGTGAATATGCAAATATTGTAGCCATCTGATGAAAATCAATCTTTAACCTTGAGAATTTAATGAAGGAGTGTCTGAAAAATCACTGAAGGCAGCACATCCTCTCCCTGAAGAGTAGGACATTGGGGTGAATTTGAAACTACTGGTGAGATATCTCTTTTACTGTGGTCACAGGTAGCCTCAAAGGGATATTTAGATGGAATCCAAAGCCCAACTCCCAATTTGTTGTGTGACAGTTCACATTTTTTTAAATGGTCTTTGAAGCTTGGTACATGGCAATTTCTCTTAGCCCAGGTAGGTATATGAGGGAAGAGTTGAAGGCTGCACAAGCAATTTCTAAAGGAAGAGCTCAGACTTGGGAAATATAAAAAGTCCCTTCCATTACTTTAAAGGTGGGAAATAAAGCCTATGATACACAACTGGTTTAGCAAACCCAAAAAGCATTCACACCTTGTTATAACATGTGAACTATATAGAAATACTGAAATATTGTGTGAAAGGAGTTTAGATGAAAACTGTTATGACTGTGAAGACAAATGTCGTTGTCATTCTCTATGTGAAAACTCCATTCAAAAGATGTAAATGGATCCATTATTGATTTGTATTCAGGGTAACCCTGTATTGCAAGCCCTGTAAAAACAACCCCCAATGTTAACTTGAATAGAACTCTTCATAATTACAACAGCATCTAACACATATTAGGCACATTGATAGTTCACAGCAATCTTATGAGATAAACACTACTATAATCTCCACTTTACATAGGAATAAACTAAGCCTAGAACATTCCCGAAAGTCACTTAAGGTCATTCAGCTACCAAGGTCAGAGTGAGGATTTGAAGACAGTCTGGCTCCAGAACACATGTGCTTAACCATCAAGCCATATTGCCTGTTAACACTTCTATGAAGCTGAGACAGCTGAACTATTATATTACAGCATGCATGTAAATCCAGCCTACCCAGACTGCTCTGCCTGGAGATACCGGCTGGTAACAAGCAGTCATTTGCAAAAGCTGTTTTCAGTAAAACACACATTTTATCTTGACACTGCAGGCCTTCATTAAACCGTGCACAGAAACTTGTTTTGAAATAACCAAATGAAATTCTGCCCCTTTTCTCCCTAATTGCTTCTAATAATAAAGTTAGTTCTAACTGGCCCCACTGCCACTGCAGCATCTGATGGTAATGAGCAGTTCTTGGCGGAAGGCATTGTGACTTAAATACCTACAGTTTATCTTTATGTTGCAGGCTACTTTTTTTTTCCCCACCTCAGACAGAGGAACTTATTTTGAAGTTACTAAATGAACCTCTGTTTGCTCCCTTCATTAATTACTCTTTGCTCTTGCAAGTTAGCTTTCTCCTTTGTTAAATGGCCTAAGGAGGCCAATTAAAATGCTGTCTTGTGATTTTTATTCTGTGGTGGTTCAGTCTGTACCCAAACTTGTGATGACCTGCATAAGCCAATATTGAGGAGTCTCAACAGCATCAATCTGACCATACAAATGAGCCCTGACCCACAAGGTCCAAGAGCCCTTTGTTCCCCAGTCTAGAATTCTTGAGAATAAGTGACCAAATGTAGCTGAGAGATCTAACAGAGTACTGTTCCTCCAGATTATCTCACCTGCTCTTCCATCTTCTCCCCTAACATCCTCCCAGCTCACTTTTTTCCTATCCAGTTGCTCTTTTACCTAAAGTCTAGGGAGAAAGGGGAAGGCATTTCTTGATTCACAAACAAGAACTTGGATTGAGTTTCTCTATAAAAGCAATGTTATAAATAGTGGTTAATTGTTACTGAAATACTTTATACTTTATACTTTAGGAACTATGTGGGTTATGTGGGCTGATCTGGGGACTCAATGAATTCTCAATTTCCCAGTAGTCAACTTCAAAGCAGACATTTGAACTAGTCTGGCTTTATTTAGGAACTGCCTGTAGTCTCCCTCATAAAGGGAGGTGGTCCAGGTGGTTAAAACAAATCATTTCTCCAAGAGCAGATGCCTGAAATTTCATTATTTTGAATAGGGCTCATATTCTTGAAATAATATTCACCCCTTTGGTATATGAAAAGTGTATATATAAACACTTACGTGTACTGTAGAATACACATATGCAGGAATACATGTTAACTGGCAATTTGGGCTGAGGGAGAGAGAAGAAAAGGAAAGGGAAGAGAGGATAGATGATATTTCATAAAACTGCCTGAGGATACCACTATCAGAGACCACAGAATTTTATAGCATAGTCCCAAGTAGAGGTGTGTTGCAATCAAATGTCATCTGGGTTTAGATCCCAGCTGAAGTGCTTACTAGGTATGTGACAATGAACACATTGCTAGGACCTCAGAAAGTTTCATTTCTCCTTTTTAAATTACAGACAAGGATTATTGTAGGTATTGACCAAGATAAGGATTATGACAAGGTGTCTCAGTGAGGTCTCAGCTGTTAGTGTTTGGTTGAGATAGAGAGCTGGGAGGCTATACCAATACAACCTCAGTTTACCCTAAAAACACTCCCAAATAATTCAATTTTTGTTCCCAAATGCAATGAGTTTGTTTCTCTATGGCTGACAATGAATCCTGACCAGCCTCACAGAGTCACTACTCATCGTGAATTCTGCCCACCATTCCCAGTGGGAACCCATGCACTGTGGTCAAGCATAGCTCAGAACATGGGCTTCTTTGGCACTTGCCTTTCCCAGAACAGAATCTCCAGAATGGAAACCCTAATGCAGGGAACTTATTAATTAGTCTGCACATGGACCACAAGGACATTCTGGCTGTGACTCCCATTGTGGCCATATCTTAAAGTAATACAATATGAAAATAATACTGTCCACATGAATCACATGCTGTAATAATTGCCACTAAAGATAATATTCTTGATACCACATTTTCTTTTGTTTCAGCTTTACATTAGCCCTTCCCATTCTTACTTGCTTGATGACGCTAGGGAATTCTCCCCTTAACACCTGTCTCCTATGTTTTCTAGTTTAGTGCTTTGCCTTGTCACTCAGGCCTGTGGATGACAAAGCAGCAGTGCTTCTAACCTTTGCCAAGTTTGAACAACCCATGCACACAAAAGGCTCCTGGGTTCATTAGCATTTGTTAGAAGTTTCAGTGGCCTTTTGTTAGAGAACTGACCATTCTTAGCATTTCATTGGCTAAAGAAGCCCTTACAAGTGTGAGGTTTGACTTAGAACTCAAATTGGTCTTTTGGAAACTTAAATTCTTTGATTTTCAGTTGTAGTCCCTCCCCATCAAATGTGGCCTTGCAGTAATCCCAAACTTCACTGAGAAGACTACGTAGTGTATGCATTCAGTTACCAACCCTGAAGAGAAACCGTGTACAGTGGATATTTTCTATGAGTTTCATTTGGATATATAAAGAAATGAAACAAAATATAAGTCTAAAAACTAAGGTTTTGAAAGTAAAGTACCATTGCTGCCTGAAAACACACAGATCAGTTTAAAGCCTTGTAGAATGTGCTATGTGACATGAGATACTGTTAGTGGGACTTTTTCTACAATTTCCATCTTTTTTGCCAAATCCTCTCAAGTTCTGCATAGTTCATTGATTTTGTAGAGAGTCATTCTCTCATGCCCTAGAATGTGGTCTCTAATTGTTTCCATGTTTCATAACATGCCAGTAAGCACATGAATTGGTTTGGGCAACCACATGGAGGGAAGAAAAAGTTTGGAAAAAATGAAGCATGGTAGGAGAGTAAAATGTATACAGCTGGGGTTTCCACTCCAAGGGTGTTATTTGTGGGCAACTAAGACACATGGTTGGCAGCCTTGCTTGAACCCTTGGAGTCTCCAAGGTAGGATTTGCCAAGGTGATTTTTTTTTTTTTTTTTTTTTTTTTGCCCAGGAGCCTTTGTTATTTAGTAGGTGACTGTCCTTCCCCACCCCACCCCCTTTATCTATTTGCTTTTGGCTGTTTCTCTTGTACTTTGTTTCACATCCTGAGGAATACAAGATGGAGGGAATGTGTAAGCTTCATGCTTAACAAATTCTTGAGCAGTCTTGATTAGTGTTACAAGCTGAAAGAGCTTAATCAAGGTTAAGGTATATGTGGCTTTCTTTTATTCTCACCAGCCTGTCCTTATCACTCCCCATGGCTGATACTCACTGTTGTTTGTGTTGTTTTACAAGCTTTATGGTGGGAGTTGAATCACTTAAAGCGCTATAATGGTAAGGGTGCTTAGTGCTATAAATGTTCAGGATTAGGAGTGAAAATTTGACCCTCCATAAAGGGGACATGATCTGAACTATCCTTCAGTGTGAGCCACATTGAGTAGTAGCATAGGCATA